GAGGATTAAAACCAGATTCAGCACCTGGTGTAAAGTAGATAAACAGGACAGTGTATCTAAAGCAAACATACCTGCTTATGTTGAGACTGCTGGAGAATTTTTCCCTTTAACTGTGCCTCCATAGGGAAAGGTTGGTTATGCAAGCAAGATGCTAGATATGGTTGCAGGAGAGCTGGGGAGGTTGGGTCAAGTCCTGGCTGTGTGAGACCTTGCACAACTCGCATCCTTACACACAACATTGCACTTCCCCCATCAGTAGAGCTGACAGCTTCTGGGGGCCCCTGGGCAAGCGAGGTGGGGAGGGAGACCAGCAGCACCACCCTCCTTAGTGCTACCAGGAGCACTGCCTCCCCTTCCCCAGCAGTAATATTGGGTGGTGCTTTGGCAGCCATGTAAAGAACCTGGCACTTCTGCTTCAAGTGTAGAGACTACACTTCCCGCCCCCAGCTGTAGGCCTGCTCCCCATTTTATAGTGGAAGAACCAAGGCACAGTGATATTGTGAGAGTAAGTGTGTGAGGTGTTCTGGTGAAGGGAGCCACACAGAAGTGGGTATAAAGAGGTGAAATCTACCCCTCCCTGGAAGAGTATTAAAAGCACAAGTTTTACCACAAGAGAAAGACAGGGCAGGGAACAGAAGAACAAAGTAAGTGCATGCATCACACTATAGCTGTGGGGAAAAAAACTATACAAAATGGAACTATTAGGTAAAGAAATCATCCTTTAATACATTTATTGGTCCATTCCTTTAAATTAAGTGAGGTAAAGAAACCATGTCTTTAAAAAAATGTACACACTAATAGTTAACAAGCATTACAAATAGTTTACCCCAAAAAGTTTATCAATACTAATTCCATAGTAACAACGCACAGAGTAGGTTTATATAGAGCTAAATGAAAAAACTGAAACATGCCAGCACCTGAAATCAAAGACATTTTATAGCCTATGAATTTAAGAAAAAAGTGTTTGTGTAGGAAACAAAAGCTACTCCAATCTGTACATTGTCCACTAGCTAAGTCACACCTAAAGACAAGTCTTCACAGCCTTCATTTTGGTTTAGCCTGCTATGGAGAGGAACAGAGTATGAAAAAACAAACAAGTTACTATACACTGATTTTTACAAAAAGTCAAAAATACAGTACACAGGTTGGGCCCCTTGCCGGCAACATTTCCATTCATGGTGTCATGCGCTACACAACAAAAAGGATAAAGTCTTAAAAATGTGCTGGCAGAAGTTAAATTTCATGGCAACATCAACTTGCCCCATGGCATAAACTCCCCTGAATGTTGAAGGGAGGCATGAGTGCAGGCACAGAGGAAGTAGAATGAACAGGACTATCTTGTCCAATCTCCATCCACAAAAGAGATGAAATACTGTATGTAGATCATTCACTGTTGCATAACAAAACCAGCATCACCTCAATGGATGCTGTGTGGGTGACTGGCCCACATCCTGCAATTTGTAGGATTAGGGTCTTTGCTATCGAGGTCCAGGAGGATACAAGCACCCTTACTTTTTTTGGCATTAAAGTGTGTCAGCAATACTAAGTTATTTAAAAAGCTACAATGCTTATCAGAATCATGTCTTAACCCCAAAATAATACTGTGAATTTCTATATATCAAATACCTCTTGCCAAAATTTAGAGTGTCCTTCCAAAGTTTTAAAAGTGACCAAAATGCATTTAAAATATCAATATTTAAACCTTCATATATCCCAAAAACACCAAAAAATGTTTCTTCTGAAGGTGCCCAGTTTCACATTATCAGAAATGTATTTGGCAAATATTTTTCAGGAGAAAAATTACTAAAGTTATTTCTCTTTTTCAATAACCTTCAGTTGTTTGTAGTAAAGAAAGCTGGTTAAAACTTAAAAAAATATAGATCGATAACTGTGTCCGTACCTAGTAGCGTTTAAGGCGTGTGAACACTACCCACTCAGAATTTATGCGCACACAAAACACTGGATCAAAAGCACTACCTAGTGAAGACCGCTTCTATTTAATAAAATGTTGAATAGGCTGCAGCACATTTTAATTCTGCATCATTTCTGGAGTTAAGTGGGTACATTGAATTACAGCCACAGTCCTACAAACGCACACAAAGTAGTCCTCGGGAATTGAACTGTACCCTTCACCTATGTAAGTGTTTGCAGGACCAAGGCCTAAATACGTATGCAGTATGGACAGGCTATGCAAAATCACCATCATAGAAGTCCCTCTACAACAGGACCAAGGCCTAAATACGTATGCAGTACAGACAGGCTATGCGAAATCATCATCATAGAAGTCCCTCTACAACAACATCATCAGTTCCACCTGTAGACCATTCATAAGTTAAGGCTTTCTGTTCATGCCAATTTCTGTGCAGTAGTTTAGCAATGAAGCCAAAGGTTTGTGATAAGACCATCAAGTGACACTTGGAACTGAAGCTAAATATTAAGGCTTTCTGTTCATGCCAATTTCTATGCAGTAGTTTAGCAATGAAGCCACGTGACACTTGGAACTGAAGCCAAATGTCTACAACATCAGTTCCACCTGTAGACCATTCATAAGTTAAGGCTTTCTGTTCATGCCAATTTCTATGCAGTAGTTTAGCAATGAAGCCACGTGACACTTGGAACTGAAGCCAAATGTCCAGAGGTGAAAGACCAGTGCATTAACTCATCAACGGATACACAGTACCTGTCATATCACCTATAGCCTGGTGGAGCTTTTCCTAGCTTTGTATTTTTCACAGAGTTTGTCAAGGAACTTACAGTATAAATATACCACAATTTACTCTTTGGCTTGCCAGTATTTAAGGAAAGAGCCGACTGCTTTATGAAATGGTGCAGACCCGGAGAATCATTTTGTTTAAAGTGATTGCTTGAGAAGGCCATTTGTTGTTCTTGGTGGTTTTTAAGTCTCCCATGTTTATTGCATCAGTGAAATTTTTGTGCAAGGTTTTTGGTTGTGTGTGTGTGTGTGTGTGTGTAAAAAATATAAAAGTAAATCAAGAAATTGCACAGGCTCGTGGTTAGCTGTAGAGCAAGATTTGTTCAAAGGAAACATTTGACACTTTAATGCATGGATAGGCCCACACCACAAAAAGTTTAACTCCATAGAATGTGTATTTTCTGTTTGAGTGCAGCAAAATTTCTAACTAATATGGGGTCACACTCACATTGAGCCAGATCAATCTGTGTTTACAGAAAAAGGTCTGTTGGACAATAACAAAAGATGCTTAAACACCTACTAGAGGGAAATACACAGTGAAACAAAGTTATTCATTCAATGCATTTCTGCTCAGTATTTGTGAAGGACTTGCTTTTCTATAGTCACAACAATTAGTGAGACTATGTATACACTTCCAAACTTGAGCCCTAAAAAAAGTCACACCTGCTCCAAGTGAATCTGAAAACTTCATTTCAGGGGCAAGATCTGATGCAGCATGTACAGGAACGAGTCACTTGTGGCAACTGAATTCAGCCCTGAAAACATTTGGCATATTTTAAGTCGGTCTAATCTGTGCTACTAACATACTGCACAAAATCTCCTTTATGGTCAGACTACGAATCACCTGGCTTTCCACCATTTTCACACACTGCAAGGGTTCGGAAAGACAAACACAGCAACATGCCTAGTTGTGTGCAAGAGGGAACCACAAAATATCCTACTCACATGACTATAGTTAAGAACTCCACTTCTGCAAAAAGTTTGTTTTCAATGTAAATAGTAATCTAGCAGGGCTGCAGGAAGTGCCTGCTTCACAGTAGAGCAATACTCAACCTGCAACATAATCTGGGGCTTGCACCCTGTGATCTAGGACGTGAAGTTGCAGCCCGCACACACTCCTTAAGTACGTGTGTGCCTGGAACCTCCATACAGCAAAGCCTTCTTCACCATTTATTTGGTGGCTTGCAGAGAAAGTGCCAGCACGTTAATGACGTAGCTGCAAAAAACTTTTGCTTGGTAACAAACAAGGCCTGAAATCACTTCATTCACATGATTAGTTATTTTTAAAAAATCAACTGGCTCCAGAGAGTGGCAGAAGAATGATGTTAACATTAAGTGTAAATATTAGGTAAAACATTGGGTGCTTGTTGGACTGTGCCAAAGGCAGAAACCGCACCATCTTTGCAGCAGGTGAAATTGCTACCATATTTTAATACCTAAAGTGGCACTATAAAAGGTCCTCGCTACCCGCTACAATTCTTACTTGACATTGCAATGTCCTTTGCTAGCAGTATCTTGTATAATATACATTTTCTGAAGAATTTTAAAAAGTACTTAAAGAACCGAGCTCCTGAAAACTACCAACAGAAGATTTGATCTTCAGTTTTCTAACTAAGCTGGAATGTTAAAATAATACCTAAAGTGGCACTATAAAAGGTCCTCGCTACCCGCTACAATTCTTACTTGACATTGCAATGTCCTTTGCTAGCAGTATCTTGTATAATATACATTTTCTGAAGAATTTTAAAAAGTACTTAAAGAACCGAGCTCCTGAAAACTACCAACAGAAGATTTGATCTTCAGTTTTCTAACTAAGCTGGAATGTTAAAAGGCATG